CATGGTCTGCTTTACCTGTGGGACTTTCAGGAAGAAAAGCGGCAAGAGATCAGCAGAAGGGGACTGAATACCTTGGACACTTTCCTGCGATGACTATTGTCTCAGGACAATGTGAACTTTAAAGTAATGCCTTGCACTCATGGGGAAGTGAGCTTATTCAGCACCATCCCTTTAGGTGCAGGTGAGTTCAAGTTACAGTTTTCTGTGTATATCATTTTTTTCTTGAGAGTGGAACAGGGTAATTTTGTTAGTTTCATCTACGATTTCATCTCCAGAAATTAGTGACATGCCTCAGAAATACATTAACTCTTCTTAAGCTATTTTGAACTTAAACATCCATAAATATATCTAAAACTTCTTAGAATACTTATATTTTTGCCCAAATAATCATGTAGAATAACGAACCCTATAAAGTTTTTAACTCTACTATAAACCTTCTGAAATGTTTCATTCCTATGATTATAATGAAAGAATTAATTTCATTGAGATAAATTACCAAAGCAAAGAAAAATAAAATCTTTTAGACCCATATTCTGAGTAAGAATAAGAAAAAGATCTGCTCACTGCCTTGGGAAGAGGTAGTGTCAACAGACGAGAGAGAGAGAGCAGAGCTTCCATTGTCCCCAATTCACTAATATTCACAGTGGAAAGAGTCGAAATCGTAAATGGCCAGCCCATGCAGATGAACTTCCAGAATGAGTGACAGACTCTAGACCAATCAAATTTTATCTCAGAATCTTGAAGACAGGCAAGATGGTCTCAAAGAATCCTGTGATGATCTCAGTAATCCTGGTGCGGACACTGGAGATGCACAAAGGCAGGGGTGACAGTCTTGAGAGACATAGACATCTATGAACTAGATGCCTGCAAGTGTGACACTGACCCCAGGTGAATGTCTTTAAAGTCACCCTCCAGAGACTTTGCATGATCCAAACTCAGTGGAAGCCAGTGCTGCTCGGCGGTGCTTTCATTAGTACCGATTCTGCCAACACTCCTTACCCGGTCTCCTCTCTCCACTTGCTTTGCCTCCTGTACACTGAGGTCTCTGACTCAAGCTCCCTCAGCTTTCAGTATTCCCACTGCAATATCCCTCTGGATTTCAACCATTTCTTCTTTTCTATCAAAGTCAGGGGAAAAAAAACATCTTTCCCTTTCTCCAAGAATAACCTTGTGTCCTTGAATTATCCCCTTTGTTCTCTGGGACTTTGCCTCATTAATTGAAATTCTTCGTCTTGTACCTTTCCCTCTCTTCATCTACAGGTGCTCTTTCTACACCTCACCCTGAAAAAATGCTCAGACTCCTTTTATTCTAAGACACACCCAAACACACACCTTACTTACTCCTAGTACCCCCTCAATTACAGAGTCTGGTACAAGAAAAATAAGAAATGTTGGTAGAATGAATGAAAGAAAGACTGTTCACTCTTGATCTCCTTTCTTCCTAAAGTTTTCTGAAGAGAAGTTCATAATAATTGCCTCTCTTTATCCATCCTTCCAGCCCCAGCCCCATCCACCTGCATAGGCTTTAGGGTGGTGGGACAGCCTGAGTCAGCCCCACTGTAGACCCTCTAGCCACATGCCCTTGAGCTCCCACCCATGGTCTCTGCTGTTCTAGTTCCTCCTACCCATGACAAGAGCCCCGTCCAGTGGGGGAGGGTAATTAAAGTGGAGGCAGATGAGATGATGGCTACAGAGAGAAAGCTGAAATGAATGACAAAATGGAGAGTGGGAGGGGCCCGAGCCCATGCTGAATCCCACCCCACACTGGAGGCACACTCTATCCTCATTCCTGCTCGCTAGTGTATTCAAACCTACCGTCAGGAATAACCCTTCAGTCTCCAAGCCCAATGGTCTAGTCTCATTCCCTAGCTTCTCCAATCTTTCTGCAGGATTAACCAGCCTCTCTATACAATTCTCTCCTCCTCTCTGCTCACTCACTCTTTTTCTAGATCCTGCCCCTGACCCTCTCGCATTCTCCCGTCTTCCCTCACCAGCTATTACTAAACATGGACGTTTCACCTGGTCTTCTGTTAGTTCCACCTTCAGGTCATTCCTTGTTCTGAACAAGCTTGCTCCTTTCCATTTCCGGGGCTACTTCTCTACCTCACCACGTCATAAATTTTCATCTCACCCACGAGTCTCGACCTGACACCCTTGCTTCCTCACTGATTTTGGACATCCTGCTTCCAGCTAAGCTTCCAGGAGCACAGCTTTGTTTCTTCTATTTTCTTGGTTAAAAGTTCTCCATCAAACAGTGAGCAAAGGTCCTCAAAGGGCTTTTAAGACAGGGCCCCATCTTTTTTTTTCTAAATGCATTTCCCACTACAGCCCTTTCACACACCTTTGCTTTAGCCAAACTGTGTTCACGGGCTGGGATAATTTATAGAAATATATATTCGTGTTTTTCTCCCAGTATTTTTCTTTCCCTTTTCCACAAAATTTTTAGCCTTTTAATAATTTCCAGAAAATTATTTTATGCATTACCAGTCTGAGATCAATGGTTTTATTTCATAACAAAGACATTTAAATAAATTATATTAGTGTTTCTTAAAGTTGGATAAATTCCAGACAGTTTTTTTCCAGGATGATGAGCCTGAGGAAGAGGGAATTCAGAGAAAATTTAAAAATGGGAAAACTACTCTAAGGATTTGCAACTATAAAAACTGTGGTATTACAGAAAGGAAGGGCTGGAAATTCAGAGACGTGGGACTACTGAGCTTGTTCAAAGTGGGACACCCAAAAGGAGCTATCTTATGGGAAATTAACATTATGGAATTTCCTTGGGTGAAGAGGAATCTGGAAATACAAGTGTTATTGTCACGTGGAGAAGCTGAAACAATAAAGAAAAAGACTTCTTAGAATGAGAATTCTGAACTTTGGTGACTCTTCACAGGAGAGAGGAAATATAATCATTGAGAGAGGAAAAAATATCACTTGTAGAAGAGGGAAGAGGGAGAAACACCAGGCCCTGGCCTGAAACCAAGAGGAGTGGTTACTGAGGTCTTCCACCATTCGTCATCTGCCTTAGAAAGATCAAGAATAATGAGAATAGTTACCAAACCAAGGTAAAATGATGATGTATAAAGAGAAACAAACAGTGTTACACCTGCCAAGTCCACAGGCGGACATCTCATCCTACCCACCCACCCACCCACCAAACAAACCGCGTCCTAGGAAGATGAAGTCCAAGTTCATTCACTGAGCCACCTTGCGACAGAAGGGTTTCGTTATCCTGGCTTTGTAATCCAATGTTCTTTTTGCTCCCATACTTTGCAACCTAATCTCCTAACGAGGGTATTCCACAGAAGTTATTAATGCAACTTTCAGGAAGGTAGGTATCATTTTTAATTCAACAGTGAATATAATCGGGATAAAGTTTAAATTAATAAAGCAAAGGGGCGGAGCGTTTCAATGACAATCATTTGAACCTTTTACCTACAAAGCTGGGTCACAAGTATAGCTCCTATGTAAAATTATTATTGTGTTTTATTCTAAGAAAACGTAATTCTACACAACTGGTGAATGATACAGAGGGAACTAACTATAGAGGAAAATACCAAAAGAGAGACTGTGGAAAGTTGGGGAAGAAGACACACCATCTCCTCAACTCAAAGTCTCTCCACGGAAACACTGGTTCCCCAAAAAGACATCAAGGGACACTTCCATCTCATCCAAGGGATGGAGTATTTTGAAATTGGGTGGTGAAAGCCTTACCCACTCCCCACACTGTAATGCATCTTTACATCAACACTAAAAACCAAGACACCACCGTCAAAAAAAAAAAATAAAACCAATGAAAAATGCCTCCTAGTCTTCAGGAAGAATCCTGACCCCAAGGAAGACAGATGATTCTTCTCCACAATAAACAGCTGGTCTTACCAGGATGGCAGAGAGGCAGATCCCTCATGGAGATTCTAGCTAACCTGGGTTCCTTCTAATCCTACGATTTTCAGAAAGACAAACCTCTGTTTAGATAAATAGCTGTATGCACTAGTTCAATTTTTGAACAGCTCAGCATTTCCTACCTCTAATTTGTCAATTTTTCCAGTAGAATGCATAATGTAAAATAGGTACTTTCCAGGATGCCAAGTTAACTATAAAAAGGATTTCACGAAGGTTTTTCACTAGAAGTAAATTTTGAGACCAGACTTTTGCTGTTAAGGAATAAAAAGTACAACCAGTGGTGATAATAGGAGAAACAGGTGCCAACAACTGAAATCAGGTGAATATTTCACTTACCTCTGGTTCCCATAGCACTGAGAACAGTAATGAATTATCTGATACGTCTGATCAAATATTATATAATTTTAGGCAGCTTTTATATTTTACAATACAGAAATAACCATCCTCCCTCTGTGTTTGCTTTTTCCCTATATACCTTGAGGACATAAAGCTTTTAAGATTTATAAGCAGTAGAAAATACTTGAAACTCCAATTTGTATCAAAACATTATTCTTTGCACGAAACCACTGACCCATTTTTCTAAAGTAAAAATAACTGGTAGGTTTTTACTTTCATTGAAAATATACCAATCACAGTTCAATTATTATATTCACACAGCACCTCGAAGACAATTTTTCAAGTTGCACAACTGACCTTCTTTTCTATAAAAATACAGAGAAAGCCTAAATTATAAGTCATTGTATTATGGAACATTTTGAAAGGAGAATCCTGTTGCTTTTCTTGCATTTAAATCAATTTAGATCTTTAATACTTCTTTGCATTTCCTTGCATATTTGTAAGCACGGCTTCAATTTTTTTTAACTTAAAGGAAAATATCTGACCACCTTATAGATTGACAAATGATACCTTGTTAGATAGCTGTACAGAAAAAAAAAAATAAACCCATACATGTAACAGATTTCCAGAGACAGAAATAAACTTCCTTTGCAAAGAAGAATCCACACACGGCACGATCCCGCCACAGACCACCGCGTGGAGACTGACTCTGGTCTCTCAGCAGGAACCTGACACATGTGGGTGGAATCCGCATCACTCACCTGTCTGGCTTAGCTGGGAGGTGCTTCGACTCCTCCGAGACACTATGGCGACCACTTTGGCACTCAGGCTGGACCTCCTTTTCTTTCCACCTGCTCCGACGGTGCCCACAGCCGTGTCCGACTGGCTGCCATCATTGTGCTCCAGTGTGTACATCTCTCCGCTCACACTGGTGCTCTTCGTGATGGCTCTTCCCGAAGTCCCCATCCGTCTGCCTTGCATTTTAGGGGTAAATGAACTATATTTACAAAGTAAAAACATATATGCATCCATAAATTACAGGTCAGCATAACTGGAACCCTGAATCTAATTTATTTTTAAATAATCCAGGCAAATTTTTAGGGGGAAAAGCCAGTTGAGTAGTATTCATATAGCTATAAATACTTTAAGATCATATCACCATCCCCAAATACGTACTAGATGTACCTTAAGACAATATTATTTCAACACAGAGTAATCTATAAACTTTTTAAAGACAGTAAAAAGAAATGCAACCAATGCTGTCTGTGGGGAGGTAAATGTGACTGACCAATTCTGTAAATAGTTACTATGTTACTTTCAGAGAAAAACTAAAATATTTAAACCCATAAGAAAAGTTCATATACATTCCTGAGGAAAAAAGTATTGCTAAACATTGATACTCTGAATTCGCCACATGACAAGGTTTAAAGATGAAAACAGTACTTGTTCCAGTTTCCCCTCCGGATTCTACCCACAGACATCCCCTTTGCTACCTGAGGCTGACAAGTCTAGGAAAGACGCTAGTGAGGCAAACGCCCTTCCCCTCTTCCTTGGCCCCTGTCTCCTCCTCACAAATGCCATCTCACTTCCCCCTTCAGCTCACGCTCCGGGTTGAGACCTTCCTTTCCTTTTTTTTCTCCATCAAAACTGACTTGTCTCTGTTCCCAGACTGCACTAGTTTATCTGAGTAGATCACTGTACTTCTCTCCCAAATGAATACATTATTGCTGAGCATTTCAGGCACCATGAAAGGTTGATGGGAAAAAAATCCTAGTTGCCAAAGTAAGTGCACGTCTGTGAGCTGGGGAGCAGGGGCAGGCGAGTGGGGAGCCGGGGTGAGGTCCCCATCTTCACATTACACTGACATGCAGCTGTATCACCCATCGAGAACTTTTTGGTCCAATAAAGACCTGGTTTGATATATCTGAAATGACCCTCTTAATTTTAAGTTTCTTCAAAATATTTGTAGAAATTGGCTTACGTGACGCTCACCACCATCTTGATGGTCTACTTCTTGTTTTGAAATACGAAATACATGACCCAATAGCTTCTTTTAACAGTGATGACACTTAATGTGCAAGTCAGAATAAATCCTAATATGACAGAAACAATAAAACAGAAAGTCTTCGGATCACGTAACGTGTTGATGGTCACATATACAATGAGTGTTTCAGTGGAAAGGGAAATTGGTATGGGGTGAGTTCAGAAAGGTGGCACGGCAAGATCGTGGGGGGCTCAGAAGCATGGAAAAGAAACAAGACTGCCCGGACCTTAGATCCCTTCACAGATTATGAATTGAAAAGAGAGACCTCTGGAGTGATCTGGAGTTTTTAATCCCTGGCTGCATTTCTCGAATTGGTCCACATCAAAATTTTCCTGATAATACAGTAATAAGATACGTATATTCTTTCAATTTATTCGAATCATCTTTTCATGAACTCAGTTGATTTTTTTTCTGTGAGGAAGATCGGCCCTGAGCTAACATCTGGCAATTCTCCTCTTTTTGCTGAGGAAGACTGGCTCTGGACTAACATCCGTGCCCATCTTCCCCCACTTTATATGGGACTCCTGCCACAGCATGGCTTGACAAGTGGTGTGTTGGTGCGCGCCCAGGATCTGAACCGGCGAACCCCAGGCCGCCGCAGCGGAGCTCGCACACTTAATCCCTTGCGCCACCCGGCCAGCCCCTGAACTCAAAGTTTTAAAGCCATTTGCAAGTCTGATAATTTTGCTAGGCATTTAATACAGTCTCTTTTTCAAAAGATTAATGAGGACAGCGTTACATGTGACCAGTCCAAAACGGATTCCTGGGGGGTTTACACACTCAACTGCAGTGAACTTTCTTTCCTGATGAATATTATGGTCAGTTTTCTGTCTTCACCAATTTATTTGAATGCATTACCTAAATCTGCCACCTCCTTCAGTCTACTCTTGTTACCTGCTTTTTCTACGATTTTACTTGCAGACTTCTTCTGAAGGATACAGAGAAATGTCAGGATTTGGTCCATTTCACAGTCATAATATCCATCTTCATTCAAACACCTGTGACTGAGAAATCAGGTCTTTTCATCTCTCATCAATATTTCCAGAACACTCCCCACAGTGGTTATTGTAAACCTCTCTTTTGATGATTTCAATTTTACCTTCACAGTAAAGTATGGATAAACTAGTATGTACCTTTTTTCTCCCCATTGTTTCCATGAAAATGGAATTCTATCACAACTCTCAATTTCTATTTTAAAAATCATTCCACAAAAAAATACTATTGTGAAATTTTGGACAAGGTTCTTTAGGTTATAGAGAAGTTTAAAAGAACAGAAAAATGTTTTCTATAATATTTCTATCATGAAAATTTACTCAAGATGAGCTAGGAAGATTCAAAATATTTTTCATGGATATTTTATTACAGCAATGAAATGATCTATAATGTTGCCAAATAAAAATTCTGAAAAAAATTTTAGGAAATCTGTATAGTCAGTGATTACCATTTTCGGGGGGTGAGTTAAGAAGTTATGTTAAAAATGATTTTGTGAATAAACATAAGATTTTTCCTCCCAAAATAAAACATTTTGTTTAGAAGCTTAAAAGCATTCTCAGCTGACCTGAGGACCATGCATAGCTTCCTGAAGAATCCAGAATATGCTGTTCAATGAGAACACGTCGAGGCATTTCAGCTCTTCTGCCGTCTAACTGAGGGGGGAGGGGTGGGGGTCTGATCAGTCAGATTAATTAAATCAATGTGAAAGTCACTGTTTTGGCACAAATATGTTTTCTATTCTCCTATTTCTTGGCTTTTTATTTGTTCTGCTTCCACTGATGGAAACCTACACCTGTTGTTTCTCCTGTCATCTGGTGGCCTGAACCCTTCAAGAGGAACTTTAAGGCTCTCTGCTTTACAAAGCTTTTTGGGGTCTCTCAGCGTCACGACTGCTGTCTCCCAGCACTCTACTTTGTACTTTGTACTGGTTACATTAAAATCCTGATGTTTTCAGTTAGCATGCACCTACGAATCACAAATTTGCTCCCGCCCCCTTCCCCCTCCGAGTGACTCCATGACTCATGGGTATAAACAAGGGATCTCCCGGTGTACAGCGACTGCGATGCACCCACCTTTACATCAAACACAGCCCACCCTCCTCCTTTGACACCCCTCTCCTGCTCCTGCTGACTGTGCTGAAAGGTCCTCAGAGTCATCTGTATGTCCTGTCCTCCTACTCTCTTCTGACTAACCTGAATCAGGCGGTGTCCCCGCCGCTTCACCAAAGCCACCATTTACCTGTCACCAGTGACTCCATGACCTGTCACTTCACAGCCCTTATCCTTTGACCTCTCAGGACATCATGTATCTGACAAAGCTTTTGATTCTTTTGATCTTGAAACACGTGATCCTTGTGATTTTCCCACTTCGTGCCTCATGGGCAGGACCTTTATCTTCTCCATCCCTAACGGCTGAGGTTCCTCAGAGGCCAGCCCCTTGAGCTGGGTTTCCCCACAGAAGCCCAGCTCCCTGGATGTCTCGTCTGGTCCCAAGTTTCACCTGCTTCTATGTGCTGCGGAGTCCAAGGCTTTTCTCCGTCTTGTCTCAGCCCTTAACTCCAGATTCATGCATCTAGTTATCAGCTGACATCCTCACTTGGATAAGTCTAAGAAGGCTCTCAAAGATAATGTGCCCAACCCAACCAAAAACTGCTCCCTCTCTAATACTCCACACCACACTAAGGACAGCCGTTCACCCACCTGCTCAGAGGAATATCCGCCTCCATTCTGTTAAGAAAAAAAAAAATATCTAAACTTGGAACTTAGACCAAAAAAAAGGTTACCTTACCTTTTAATGCCATGCTTGAGCATTACGTGACAAGCCCACCTAAGGGCCATTTGACCCCCAGGGGACTTGACCTCCAGTAAAGTCTCTGACTTACTGCTTACTCTTACAATAGTTACAGTCAGCCATTTTACAACTCTGTAAAGTTAGATGTTAACTAGAAGAAAACCAATAAGGAGCAAATGATTACCATTTAGTAGAGAGGACAACCCCAAAGGTTATGGTTTTATTGACCTAGAGAACATCATCCAGTTTTGAATCTAACTGAATAATAATATTCCAGCATTTCCTTTTTTTTCCAATGATTACATATGGGTGTACGTAAGTACATGAGCCTCCTGTACCATCTTTGGAACCAGTTTGTCATCTGGTTGGTTTTCTCACTGATGAGTTAAAACTCTGACATTTGCTCTCTTTCTTATAATTCTTGAGAATTATATTTTGATAGTGTTGGAAGCCCCATGAAAATGCTCACATGGACCCCCTGCTGGAGCCAGTTAAACCGAGATGTCCGAGCAGGCACCCTGGCCTCTGTACGCCCACGGATGCCTTTTCCTGGCTCCTCGATTTAACATCAAGTGGCAGCAGAACATTACTTTCAGTCTCTGTTTCTCTGTTTTCTTTTCTCTGCCTCTGGTTTTCTATGTTTGTTTGTTGCTGGTCCTGGTTCTTGGTAAATTTGGCTGTGATTTTGCTTTGTGTGTGACTGAGAGCACACTCCCCACCTGTGGCAACAACAACAGGGAATCTCTCTGTGGATGAAATCTGTTGGACGCAGACATCAGGGATAAATTAAAGGTTGGGTGAGAGATCACAGAAAATCCAGTTGTTAATCTTTAGGTCCCTCTGTCCACACGCCACTAAAAGCTCACGTCACTCAAGAACGTCTTGTCCACAATGAAAAGAGTCTGGGCTTGGGTTTCTTTGGTAATTTTGGACCCACGGCTGAGTGGTAAAACTGAGGCAGCTAGTTTTCTCTGTACATTTAAAAAATAGTCTTTTCATTTGGTGATAAAGATCTCTTACTTTGTGTGCACCCCAGGGATAGCTGTCTAGACAGACAGTTATTAGATTTCAAGGTATCTTAAATCTAACATAGCTCCTGTTCTGATTGATCCATACAGACAAATAAGTGCTTGTAAAATTCTAGTATAATTAACTAAAGAATCCCCAGA